ATGGTGCTCAGTAATAGGTATTGGGGAGGTGGGAGGGGGCGGGGGGCGGGTATCATACATACATAATGAGTGAGATGTGCACCATCTGGGGGATGGTCATGATGAGACTCAGACATTTGGGGGTAGGGGGGAAAATGGGCATTATTGAAACCTTAAAATCTGACCCGCCAAGATAATATGCCAAAAAAAAAAAAAAAAAAAAAAAAACTTGTGGCACAAGAATAAATTCAGCATAAATTAAATGCAAATAAAGTTTAAACAAAAAACCAAAACCCCCCAAAAAACCCCACAAAATTGCAGACTGTACTAACTATGCCTTCATGATACCTCTATGATAAAGGTTGTTAAAAGCTTTTTGCATATAACTTTTTTGTATTAATTTGATCATGGTCTGACTGGTACAGTGTGTTAAAAAATTAAAATGCATATAGATACTCAGGAAGATAGTAAATGAGGGGAAAGAATGTAACTTATGTTCATTTTTCAAATTACTAAGGCCTGTTAGATAAAATTTTGTGCCGTTTCAAGTGAACTGGGTGAAAATCCGTTCTAACACAAATAAATAAGTTTTACCTGAAAAAACCACATATCAACCTAAGTTCATTTATCCTAAAAAGGATTTTTCCTATATTTTGATTTTGCTTCACAAAAAGGTAAAAATAGAAAACACATTTATCTAAAACTATCTCAAAAATCAATGTATTTTCCATATATAACCAGAATATCATATTCATAATTAATTATTCCCTAATATCAATTGATGGTATTAAAACCTTAATTATACAAAATTGAATTGCAAAAGGTAATATACTCCATTCTATGTAAAATATGTAAAAATGTAGAAATACATTTCCTCTTGTCCATTAAACACATAATAGAGTGTAACCTTGAAAATATTCATGATATTCTCTATGTGTATATAGCTCTCTCTGAAGGTAGCTCCAGAGTGAACAATGAGTCTTAAGATTGCCAAAATAACATTTCTAGTTGCTGAAACTCAGAAATGGCAGCTTTTCTAATCATAGACATCAAGACTCAAACAGGAAGCAACATCACTGTCTTTCAAAAGTGGTGACCTTCCCTGCTTATAAACACCCTTTGGGGCTGTGTGCTTATATTCTCTCTGTGGTGTTCCTTGGGCTCTTGAGGTTTGGTCAGATTGCTGCTCTGTTCTGTGATACCTGGGTTTAGGCTTTTCTGAAAAGGAGCTTGGCTGACACCTTCAAGTGTTTGGATTGCTCCATGCCATAGTCTAATATGTAAAACTAACATTCCCATGTTGCTGTTTACTCTGCAGTACTGGCCGAGGGCCATTGAAAAATTAGCATCAAGAGCATATTATATGCTGGGCACAGTGGCTCACACCTGTAATCCTAGCACTCTGGGAGGCTGAGGCAGGTGGATCATTGGAGCTCAGGAGTTTGAGACCAGCCTGAGCAAAAGTGAAACCCCATCTCTACTAAAAATAGAAAGAAATTAAGTGGCCAACTAAAAACATATAGATCCTAGCTCTTGGGAGGCCGAGGCGGGCGGATTGCTCAAGGTCAGGAGTTCAAAACCAGCCTGAGCAAGAGCGAGACCCCGTCTCTACTATAAACAGAAAGAAATTAATTGGCCAACTGATATATATATTAAAAAAAAATTAGCCGGGCATAGTGGCGCGTGCCTGTAGTCCCAGCTACTCGGGAGGCTGAGGCAGCAGGATCGCTCGAGCCCAGGAGTTTGAGGTTGCTGTGAGCTAGGCTGACGCCACGGCACTCACTCTAGCCTGGACAACAAAGTGAGACTCTGTCTCAAAAAAAAAAAAAAAACATATAGAAAAAATTAGCTGGGCACGGTGGTGCATGCCTGTAGTCTCAGCTACTTGGGAGGCTGAGGCAGGTCTGCTTGAGCCCAGGAGTTTGAGGTTGCTGTGAGCTAGGCTGATGCCACAGCACTCACTCTAGCCCAGACAACAGAGTGACTCTGTCTAAAAAAAAAGCATATTATCTGAGCAAGACTGGCTTGTTAGGAATAGTGATGAAGACTTTGTTCCTTCCTACGCTTGTTATTTGGACAAGTTATATAAACATATTGGTCTCACATGATACAGATTTTTTTTAAAAGACTATTATATATCTTTCTAAGGATTAAGTGAACTTAATTGAAGTATTTAATGAAAAACAGTGTTCAATACAGTTTAGGGTTTAGAGAATAAATAAGGCAAAAACAAGTCAAGAAGATTGGGAAGTGACCTCCCCTCACGAGGAAATGTCCTAAGGTGTTGGAGAGAGACCTGTCCTATACCTGCAACATGGAACAATGCTCCTCGGTGACCATGATGGATCAAGGGAAAAAAAAAAACAAACAGGTAATCATGTCTCTAAATTTAATAGAACATGTTCTAAATCACAATGGTGATCAAAATTCCCTTCCCCTAATTAATGTGAATGGTATGTAATTCTCATGAATTAGGTTTATGTCACTCCATTCCCCACCCCACTACCGCTAGAGTACAATAGAGCATCATTGTGGCTCATTGCAACCTCAAACTCCTGGGCTTAAGTGGTCCTGTTGCTTCAGCCTCCTGAGTAGTTGGGACTATAGATGTGCACCACCACACCCACCTAATTTTTCTATTTTGTAGATGACAAGGTCTCCCTCTTGCTCAGGCTGGTCTTGAACTGAACTCAAGTGATCCTTCCAGCTTGGCCTCCCAGAGTGCTAGGATTACAGGCAAGAGCCAATGCACCTGGTTCATACTCCATTCTTTCTGCCATCTAGGCAAGAATTACTATGATCAGGAAGGGTAGAATTAAACATTCAATACAGCTAAATTGAGATAAATGACTCACTTCTTTGAGTAGTGACGCTAAAACAAACATAAATAATGTAAGAAATTCTACTGAGAATCCTTACTGATACATTCTGCATTCATTTATGGCTTCCAGTCATATTTATTATAATCTCTTTGACAACAGGTATGGTATCTGGTGATCCTTGGCACGAGAGCACTCACAACAGCATGATTTAACTTTTGGGATTATGAGTAAATGAAAATTGAGGATCACGATAAAAATTTTATGTATATAAGCAAGAAAAGTAAAATTTACAGGACAAAAAACATATCTGAAATTTACATACAACATAATATGGAATCACAAGTCAAATGAATAACTTGGTAACATTTTCAACATGATCTGATCCAAGATGGTAATGGGACATTTTAACATAGCTTTCAGTAAATGAAAAAGACAATAACATCTGTTAGTACACAGGTTGTTAAAAACAGTTAAGAAACTATTTTTTAGAAACATGAACAGAAATCCTGGTGGGCAAATACATAGTTTTTAATCAGATATAATCAAACATAATGGAAAATGAAGTGAGACATTACAATTAGCTATGAATAACAGGAAACATTTGAAATTTCCTGATAAGAAGGTGCTTATTCTCTGATGAAACTACTTGAGGAGGGCAGTCACTCCACTATGCAGCAAAGGAACAGGCTCCCACTTACTTGGTTTGGATGGAGGCATTGTAGTTATCATGCTGACTTGAGAAAAGAGCCATTAACAATAGAAACAAAAGTGTTTGTGCAAATTACACCTTATACCAATCAATCAATAGACTTGGACAGTTGAGTATGAGATAATATTCCCACGTAGGACAGGCTCAATTGGTTCTCCAGTGCGGGAAGATCAGCTACTTCTCCCCATGAGAAATCGGGTACCTTAGGTAGACGTTGTCACAGAGAATAAGAAATTTATAGGAAATAGAATGGAAATAAAGGAATACAGAGAGATGAAGGTATACTTTTATAGATTTATATAAAGAAATTAGCATAAAAGAAGGGTACTCAGGGGTCCCCACTACATCCCAGTTGGCAGTAAAGACACGAGGGAAGTTTCACGTTGGTTTTATAAACATAGATATCAGTTACTGGTTGCCAAGGGTAACAGATTTACATCATAACGGGTAGTTCTGGTTCCAGGAGAAACACATTTACATAAAAATAACAACAGGTAGTTCGGTTTGGATTAAAACTTTTTTCAAAGGGCTTCTAAAAATTCCTATTCTATCTATGTGAACAAATGGATACAAAATCTTCAAGGACTAACTTCTAAGTTCTAAGAGATAGCTATCATTTAACAGAGGAGTAAAACAGAGATATAATGGCTCCATATTTCTTTTATCTAGTTATTGTGGATTGATGCAGTCAGGAGCAAGAAGGAAGCTCAGCTCTTTATGTTAATTTGCTCTTAGCCACAGGGGTTCACCTCTGCTCATTGTTCCAGCTCCTTTCGGCTCCTATCCCATGTTGCCATGTATATACCTGCCTGCTTTTTCAAGGACAGAGGAGTCACAGGTTTGAGATATCAGAAGCCTTCTTGGAATGCATCCCTACCAGAGCTCTGATAGCCCTCCCATGGCAAGGCAGCCCTTGATATGCAAACTAACAAGTTCACATATTCCTTCAGGGCAAAGCCATGCAAAACTCCTGAAATCAATTCTCTTTAATATAGCAATATTGGGCAATACAATAAAAAATTAATCTTACGAGCCACATCTCATTAATTTCTTAATCATCCTTCCTCAACACTGCAGTAAACATGTTATAATGCCGAAAGAAAAATCAAACTGTGCATGGACCTTTAATATGGATCTACTGGGGAAATCTTTGGAAACTTCAACCTCTGGCAAAATGAAAGTCAACTAATTTTGAACACACTTTTTTTTTTTTTTTTTTTTTTTTTTTTTTTTTTGTTTTTTGAGACAGAGTCTCGCTTTGTTGTCCAGGCTAGAGTGAGTGCCATGGCGTCAGCCTAGCTCACAGCAACGCTACACTCCTGGCTCCAGCGATCCTTCTGCCTCAGCCTCCCAAGTAGCTGGGACTACAGGCATGGCGCCACCATGCCCGGCTTAATTTTGCATATACATATCAGTTGGCAATTAATTTCCTTATCCTTTTAATAAGTAGAGACGTGGGTCTCGCTCTTGCTCAGGCTGGTTTTGAACTCCTGACCTTGAGCAATCCGCCCACCTCAGCCTCCCAGAGAGCTAGGATTATAGGCGTGAGCCACCGTGCCTGGCCTGAACACACTCTTAATTGGCAAGCCAAGGAATCAGGAAAATAGGCTGGAAGCAGGGGTCTGCACAGCTTGTACAATCTGTCTGTCTCCCTGTATGGTGCCTCCAAAACATGATGAATGGCTTCTTCATTTCTCTCTTTGAAATTTCATGTCAGATACACTCCTGGTAAATTGTACCATGGAATTATTCAACTCCTTGATTTCATTGTCCTATTGCAATTCTCTCTTTTCAACTCAAAACTCAATTATCTCATATGATCTTTCTCTACTCGATTTTCCTATCCTTCAAAGGAACTGGGACAACTGCATGCTTTCCTAATTTCTTATAGGATTTCTCTCACGTATTAATGTTATGAGTTCTTTCATGCTTTAGACAGTAAGCAGAACAAATGAAAGCTTTCCCACATTCCCTACATGCATAGGGTTTTTCTCCAGTGTGAATTCTTTCATGTATTTGAATGTACCCAGAATAAGTAAAGGCTTTACCACAGTGCTTACATTGGTAGGGTTTTTCTCCAGTATGAGTTCGTTCATGTCTACGAAAGGAACTGACACAATGAAAGGCTTTCCCACATTGTTTACATTCATAGGGCTTCTCTCCAGTGTGAATTCTTTCATGTATTCGAATGTACATGGAACAAGTAAAGGCTTTACCACAATACTTACATTTATAGGGTTTTTCTCCAGTATGAGTTCGTTCATGTCTATGAAAAGAACCGACACAAGGAAAGGCTTTCCCACATTGTTTACATTCATAGGGCTTCTCTCCAGTGTGAGTTCTTTCATGTATTCGAATGTACATGGCAGACCTGAAGGTTTTCCCACATTGTTTACATTCATAAGGCTTCTCTCCAGTGTGAGTTCTTTCATGTATTCGAATGTACATGGCAGACCTGAAGGTTTTTCCACATTGTTTACATTTATAGGGCTTCTCTCCAGTGTGAGTCCTTTTATGATACTGCAAGGAAGTGGAACAACTGAAGGCTTTACCACATTGCTTACATTCATACGGTTTCTTCCCAGTGTGAGTTCTTTCATGTATAATACATACACTCAGAGAGTCCAAGGCTTTCCCACAAAACTTACATTTATAATGGCCATCTCCACTGTGCATTACCATGTGTTTTTGAATGCTTGTGAGAGAAATGAAGGTTTTCCCACATTCCTTACATTCATAGGGTTTCTTTTCTGTAGCAGGCCTTTCCTGTGTTTGAAAGGGGTGGCATGAACTGAAGGCTTTCCCACCTTGCTTGTGTTTATATGGCATCTCACCATATTCCTGATACTTATGTGGTTTGGGTCCAGTATCAGCTATGATGTGCCTATTATGGAATGAATGAACAATAGATATGTCTGCACGTGCACTGCTGTCACATGGTTTTATGCCACCAGGAGTTTTCTTATTCACCATATGATCTGGAACCAGGCTGAAGGTTTCTCCAAACTGACTACACTCTTTACTTTCAAAGAGTCTCTCTCCCAGAAAACTTCTGTAGAAAATGAAAAGCACGTTATTAAGGATTTGTGTGTGGTTTTTTATTTACTAATAAGTATAATACTTGTATTTTTAACATTATCAAGGAAAGTGAAGGTTTCAGAGAAAATTTTGCAGGTATAAATAAATCTGACACTGCACTTATTTGTTTTGTTTGCATGTTTTTAACATTTTCTGACATTCTAAGATTCTCTTGAGATACATGGCTTTGAGCACTTACTAACTTAGATTACTTAGAGCACTTACTACCTTAGATTTCTCCTGGGGTTTCTGTACTGATCTTCAATGTTCTGGTCTTTCCATTGTTTTCCTAAAATACATAGCCAGAAAAATAATTATTACAAAATGATGAAAAAATTATTACCTTCCACATTCACAGTACACTGCAGCCATGCCTGATTTATTCACCAAAGTATTCTTTCCCCATATTCAATGTCATTAGACAGTGCTGATGAGTTAAAACACTGATTCTTTAACTCACTGTGTGAAGGTATACTGTCATCCTTACCTATAGAGGCCAGGTTCCTCCGGGTTTCCCACATCACATCTCTGTAGAGATTCTTCTGAGAAGGATCCAGCAAAGCCCACTCCTCCAGGGTAAAGTTCACAGCCACGTCCTCAAACGCCACTGAGTCCTGAAACACCCCACATGCGTAGAGGAGGATGGGTGAGACCAACAAAATTGGGGACCTATACTGTATTCCTAAGGTCACATGATGCTACAGACTCCAAACACTTCTTTTATGAGTTGGTCACCAGAATTTTACTCTCCATCTACACTCATTTCTACCCACACATCAATTCTGATACTAGACTTGAACTACTAGATAAAACAAAAGTACAATAAGAAAACATGATTTTTTTTTTTTTTTGCATCCAGTAAGAAAGATGTGTTGCCTGTGTCACCCCCAATTTCCCTTTATACAGTGGATCTGTAACACCTGGCTGGACACATTCAGGATGGTATGACCATATATTCTTCAATTTATTCACGGTGTCCTTTGAAGCACAAAAGCTTTAAATACTAATGTAGTCTAAACTATTTACTTTACCTTTGTTCCTAGCTCTTCTGTTGTCATATGATAGAATCTTTTTCATAAATATAAGAGAATGAAAATTTTGGAGTGACATGCTATGTAACATTAATAGGGTGATATTCTCCTTTGTTCCCATGGGAGGATGAGCTGGTGTATTTAATTCTGCAGGCTGGAACTGAAAGCTACTATACTATGGAGGATAAAACTATTTAAATTTGTACTATAACAGCATAATACTTCATTATGCTATATACTATAATACTCTTCATGTATGATAGCTGTGTATCATATAGAAATTATATATAATATATACTGATTAGCTCTAAAAACTACACCTACAAGGCTGGGCACGGTGGCTCACACCTGTAATCCTAGCTCTCTGGGAGGCTGAGGTGGGCAGATTGCTCGAGGTCAGGAGTTCGAAACCAGCCTGAGCAAGAGCGAGACCCCGTCTCTACTATAAATACAAAGAAATTAATTGGCCAACTAATATATATAAAAAAAAAATTAGCCGGGCATGGTGGTGCATGCCTGTAGTCCCAGCTACTCGGGCGGCTGAGGCAGGATTGCTTGAGCCCAGGAGTTGGAGGTTGCTGTGAGCTAGGCACTCACTCTAGCCTAGGCAACAAAGTGAGACTCTGTCTCAAAAAAAAAAAAAAAAAAAAAAACCACCTATAAAAACTCTGTGCATGCATATGTATGTGTATGTATGTATAAATAAACACTAGATACTACACTAGATAATGATAGCCTATACTATAATACTTTACAGAAATATCTCCTTTAAGGAGAAGTCAAAGCCTCAGTCACATACTTGCAAAGAGAATCCAGGAATGTGTCACAACATCTATACCCCATGAACATGTGGGATTTAATCCAGGAAAGCAGCATTGCTTTCACCTGTGAAAATCAATTCATGCAATTTATCATATTAACAGAATTAAAATCAAAACCCACAAGTACATTGTACTACATGCAGTAAAAGCTTGTGACGAACTTCAATATCCCTTCATGATAAAAATAATAAACTAGAAATAAGTGAAAACTCCGTCATCTATTATAAGGCATGTATTAAAAATGCATGACTACTACCATATTTGACAGTGAATATTAAAATTATAAATATAAAAATATTTATCCCAATGATGAGAAACAAACAAACATGTCTGCTTTAAACAATTCTATTCAACTTGGGAAGGGAGTTGAGACTAGGCTGACTGGGTCAGAAAATAAAATAAACGCCAGATTTATAAGGCATACACATGTAGCCCTCTGACAAAGGATTTGTCACTGAGTATACACATGTACAAATAGACACAGAAATAAAGATCCAAAATGGTCAACATGATTCCTGAGTAAAAAGGCTGACTACTGCCAGGTGTGGTGGCTCACGCCTGTAATCCTAACACTCTGGGAGGCCAAAGCAGGTGGATTGTTTGAGCTCAGGAGTTTGAGACCAGTCTGAGCAAGAGTGAGACCCTGTCTCTACTAAAAATAGAAAGAAATTAATGGCCAACTAAAAATATATAGAAAAAATTAGCCGGGCATTGTGGTGCATGCCTGTAGTCCCAGCTACTCAGAAGGCTGAGGCAGAATGATCGCCTGAGCCCAGGAGTTTGAGGTTGCTGTGAGCCAGGCTGACCCCATGGCACTCTAGCCTGGGCAACAGAGACTGTCTCAAAAAAACAACAACAACAAAAAAAAATTAGCAAAAGATCTAGAAATATACTTCGCCCAAGGAGACACACATATAGCAAACAAACACCACATGTGACTAGAGAAGAGCAAATTAAAACAATGAGGTATTATCAATTACCTGGTAGAGTGGCCAATATCTTAAACACTGACACCACCCAATACTAGGGAAAATGTGAAGTATCAGGAACTCTCATTCACTGCTGGTGTGAATGGAAAACATTTCATTCCCTTTTAAAGACACTGAGGCACACTGTTAAGATAACCAGGGTCTTGTCATATGACAAAGCAATCACACTCTTAATTATTGACCTAAGTAAGCTGAAAACTGATGTCTGCACAAAAGAATTCGCACAAACATTTTTAGCAGGTTTATTTATAACTGCTAAGAATTAGAAGCAACCAAGATATAAGCCTTTCTTTTCTCCATTTTTTAAGAAACAGGGGTCTCATGCTATCACACAAGCTGGTCTCACATTCCTGGCCTCAAGTAATCCTCCCACCTCAGCCTCCCCAGGAGCAGAGACTACACAGGCCATATATACCATACCTGACTCAGGATGAGCCTTTCAATAGGTAAATGGATAAGCAAACTGTGGTATGCCCATACAAGGGAATATTTATTCAGTGATAAGAAATGAGCTATAAAGCCACAAACACTTGGGGAGACTTTAAATGTATATTGTTATACGAAAGAAGCAAATCTGAAATAGCTACTAATAGTACCATTCCAAGTATATGATATTCTGGAAAATGCAAAACTCTCAGAGTAGTGAAAAACAACAGTGTTTGCCAGGGATTAAAGGGACTGACAAAATTGAGGGAGGGGACAGTGATGATTAGGGGGAGCACGGGTTATTTTCAGGGTAGTCAAAACTCTTCTGTATAAGACTGTGAGGGTAGATACATGACACGTGTACTTGTCAAAATGCTCAGACCCATAGAACACAAACAGTGAACCTTAAAATACCTATTTCAAGAACTCTGTTTGTTTCTTCAGACCTTATCACAAATTACACTCAGGTTCCAACCAAATAAAAATGTTAACATTCAAATAATGGAATCAAATTCGTAAAAGTTTGGGCAAAGAGCAATTATTAATATATAGCGGCAAGACTCTACAAAGGAAACAAAAAGGAAGCAGCTCAGGAAGGCAGCATGCATCACCCCCAGTTCACAAGGGACCCCACAATCCCTTAGCTGAACACATTCCCAAGCTTAGGACCCACCCTGACTGTGGAGATGGAGTCCAGGGTGGGGTGACATCAATGCAGTGCCTGAAATCTGAGCAGCCAGAAAACTGAATTCTGAGAGTTCCAAACATCCTACTATTCCCTCTTCACAGTGTGGAAATACTCCTTCAACCAGGGTGTCAATCCCCACCAGCGACCAGACACTCACCTGGAATGACTTGAAGGATCTGATTTATATATATATATATATTTTTTTTTTTTTGAGACCAAATGCATGGTGTTTGCTGAACACCAACCAATTCTCCAAAACCAACTGTTTATCAAACAAGTCAATTCTGAAACCACCCAGAGTTAGCAGAGACCCCCACAATTTCCTAGCTGTTCCCACAACACAGCCCCCACTGCAGATGCCAATCACAAGTCCCAGGGGCCACCTGTAGTTCTGCATATAAATTGGGGACCCCCATGAGTCCCTCCTCAAGTTCAATAATTTCATAAAACCACTCACAGTTCACTTACATTTACCCATGTATTATAAAGGACACAGCTCAGCAACAGCCTAATGGAAGAGATGCCAGGTCCAAGGTAAGTGGCAGGGAACAAGGAATAGGGATGGTAAGTAATCCTGGCAATGGGTAAGATTGCAGAAATCTCCCCATCCTGGTGTCCTGTAAGAGCAGCCTACTGAAAAAAAAAATCCTTCCATTCTGACTTAGATCGTGTTCCCTTAGTTTCACCTACTACAAAGGCAGACCCAGACTAGAAATCCCCAGTTTTCACCTCCCAAAGGATGTGAATAGCTTTGTTTTTAGTGATCAGAAAATACCTGTTAACCAAATTTTAAGCTTCTCTCCTTCTTCCAGGCCCCTGAATGTTGATCCACCTTTGTCTGGGCCCAAAATACAACTCCTCTTACTGACTTCAGGGTCCAGGATCTGATTTTGCCCTGCTCCTCCACGTGCTTTCTAATCTTGTTACTCCCTGTGATAGAAATTCCTTTTCTGCCTAACCTTTGAGAAATTGTCCTTTAAAGTCATTCCTTATCTAACCCCAGATTTGATTCATTAGCAACATCTAGAAAAAGCCCCAGGACAACAATTAGAACCTCTGAAAGGGCCTCAATGACCCAGGACATCTGCCTGTGGGTCCCGAGCTTTCCAGACCTCTGAATTCTCTCAGTATAAAGGGCTCCTCCCAAGGGCAATGTGAGCAGCTGGCACACCTGCGGGGTAGACTTCCCAGGAAGAACCAACTGGGTCTGCAAAGACCTTCCTTTACAAGCTCAAGAATGGCCTGAGCTTGCGGTCACTGGGCTCAGGTGTCTTCTTCAAAGCAAAAATACCCAGTGTTTCAAGAATTCAGCAAAATCACCCAAAGCCAATTTATGTTTAGAAGTGGGAAGGAATGATAAGGCACTTAGATTTCATACCTCTACAGGGAAAGGAAAAGTATCTAACCCTTTCAGACAATAAACATATTGTGAAATTAAGTAATTCAAACTTAAAGTTTTGGAACTTTCAATGATTTTGAGCCTTAAGAGGAATGTGACTATGTGTTTCGAGTCACATAGCTTACCGCTGCAGCTTGTGCTTTTCCAATTATAGATTCACTCTCTTCCTTATTCTTGTTCTGTAAATGATTAAGAAAGACCAAATGGTGCCAGGGATAAGACCCTCTTAGGACCACTACCCCTTCAAAAGAAAAAAGAAAAGAAAAAAAAGACCACTACCCCCCCTTACAGAAAGTTAAAGCATTTTTATCATTCTGGAACTACTATTGGTTTTACATATCATACCTCCTGAATCTATCCTCCCTGTTTTGTTTCCTTTCACAATTTTCATCTCATTACCTTTATCTTATGTGTTTTTAGATCCCCATTGCACCTTCCAGCCTCAAATTTGGATTTTAAAAATAATCATCTATCCTAGGACTCGTGGAGGCCAAGGTGGGTGGATCGATTAAGTTCAGGAGTTCAAAACCAGCCTGAGCAAGAGCGAGGCCCCCATCTCTGCTAAAAATAGAAAGAAATTAGCCGGATAACTAAAAATATATAGACAAAATTAGCCGGGCATGGTGGCACATACCTGTAGTCCCAGCTACTTGGCAGAGTGAGGGAACAGGTTCGCTTGAGCCCAGGAGTTTGAGGGTGCTGTGAGCCAGGCTGACACCACGGTAATGAAGCATGGGCAACAGAACGAGGAAAGACAAGAAAAGAAAGAAAGAAAGACAAGAAAGACAGAAAGGCAGAGAGAGAGAGAAACTGGAATCTGATCCTTTCCATTATTTCAGGTTGACAAGTCCAAAACAGGCGACTACATAGCTGTCACCAACCAAGTATCTAATTTAGGTAGGTCCCTCTGCACCTTATAAAATCCTTTCCTTCAACCACAAACCATAAACCATGACTGGGTATTTCTCATTCATGAACAGATGTTTGCTCAAGTAAACCCATTAATCTTTTTTTATTTTTGAGACAGTCTCACTCTGTTGCCCGGGCTAGAGTGCCAAGGTGTCAGCCTAGCTCACAGCAACCTCACTCATGAGCTGAAGCAATCCTCCTGCCTCAGCCTCCTGAACAGCTGGGACTACAGGTACGACCCACCATTCTAAGTCCCATTATTCCAAGTCCCACTATTCCCGGCTAATCTTTTCTATTTTATTGTTTAGTTGTTTGGCTAATTTCTATTTTTAGTAGAGACAGGGTCTTGCTCTCGCTCAGGCTGGTCTGGAACTCCTGAGCTCCAACAATCGCCCGCCTCAGCCTCCCAGAGTGCTAGGATTACAGGTGTGAGCCACTGTGCCTGGCCCTTTTTCTTTTTTTTTTTTTTTTTTTTGAGACAGAGCCTCGCTTTGTTGCCCAGGCTAGAGTGAGTGCCATGGCATCAGCCTAGCTCACAGCAACCTCAAACTCCTGGGCTCAAGCAATTCTGCCTCAGGGCCTAGCTGCGGACTACAGGCATGCGCCACCATGCCCGGCTAATTTTTTCTATATATTTTAATTGTCCAGCTCTTGGCCTTAAATCCCTCAATTTTTAACAGTGCTTCAGTTTAATTTTTAACAGGAGAAAGAAGGGACAGGGGACCCCACAGACCGCAGCGCCGCCCACGCACGACCCCACACGCCAAGTCCCGACCCCCCGCCACGACCCTCCCGCCGTCACCGCACACTCTGGGGACGCGGGGCCGCCCAGAGAGGGCGCCGGGCCCAGGGCGCCGCGCCGGGGCGAGACAGGACGCCCGGGGGCCGGCTGCCGGCCCAGCCCCACTCCAAGGGCCTGTGGGACCCAGGGCCGAGCTGTGACAGCGGTGACTCTGGCCCACAGACCTCGGGGCGGACCGCGGGGAAGCCCGGGTCCCGCCACAGCCGGTTCCGGCCGGTTCCAACCAGCTCCGGCCCCGCACACTCACCATTTCCGTGCTTCTGGGGTGACCTGGCGGCTTCCCTACGGCTCGCGCGACCAGTGCAGGTCACAGCGCAGGTGACCACGCCACACAAGCCGCGGCGGAGGCACCCGGGGCCCCTCTGAGCAGCGCGGCCCGAACCCGGGGCGCGACCCGCGCGAACAGCGAGCGGAGGGAGCCGAGACTGGAGACGCCTCCTTCCTTCCCGCCACGCACAGCGCGCAGGCCCCGCCCCGGCGCCCCTCATTGGATGTGGCTCCAGGCCCCGCCCCTGCAGCCTGAGTGACAGGGGAAGCCATGGGAACCGGGACCTGCGGATTCTGACCGGCAGGTTCCCCCTCCCCCCAGCCTCTCCCATCCCCCTCCCCCCCTGCGCCTGCTCACAGGCCGTTTCCATTTCAGCCCAGCCCGGGCCACGTTGCCAGAAGGGCCCCTGTGGTCCTCCTCACTCAGTGGGCTGTCCCTGTTCTTCCTCCTGGACCGGGTCACAAGTGTGTGCTGGGAATTCCAGACTCAGTGTCCGGGGGAGGGATCTGGTCACCTAGACCCGGCCAGGCCACACTGCAACAGGACAGAGGGCCCCATGTCCTCCAGGGGCTGGGAATTTAGGATGACACATGCCAGGGCTTCCTCACATACTCCGAGATCCCCTCGCTGCGTGGAATCGCTCCCTCCTAAAGGCGGGACCTTCATTTTCAGAAGCAGGAAACACTCGCCTGCAGTCAGTTTAGCCTTCTGACCTGAATACTGTTCATTCTGTGAACTAAAATAAAATTATAAGACTCACCGCACCCCCACGGGCTGGCTGAATGGACCCCCTTGTGACCAAAGGAATATCCTAAAACTAAATTGTCTGGCAGGAGGAGGGAGGTCAAACATGCCTCATCATGCCCCCTCCCTTCTTGGAAACATCCTTTGTAACCCACTGACAGGCCTAAGGGTATGCAAGACAACCTGCAGGTCCTCAATTTACTCAACAAATCTATGTCCCTTGGCTTACCTCTGATAACAGCTCCTTATGTGACCAGGGGTCCTCAAACTTTTTAAACAGGTGGCCAGTTCACTGTCCTTCACACCACTGGAGAGTGTGCACTGTGTGCCTGGGACATGCCGGCTGCTAAGCAGGACAGGCAGCAGCGGAAAAACCCCAGAGGGCCTGAAAAATGTGCTAGGCAGCCGGCATGTGGCCCTTGGGCCATAGTTTGAGGACTCCTGCTTTAGACAAAGCTTCATGTCTTTGACCAATTATACACCAAAGAATCTTTAAACCCACCTGTAACTTCTAAGCTCCCCCCACCAGCTTCAAGATGGCCCACTTTGTCGGGCAAAACCAATGTATCCCTCCCACGTATTGATTTATGACTTTACCTGTAACCCCTGTCTCCCTGAAATGTATAAAACCAAACTGTGACCCAGCCACAGCGAGTCCACTTGCTCAAGGCTTCCTGGGAGTGGCTGCAGGTCATGGTCCTCAAATTTGGCTCAAAGTAAATGTCTTTAAAATTATTTTACAGGCCGGGCGTGGTGGCTCAGGCCTGTAATCCTAGCACTCTGGGAGGCCGAGACGGGTGGATTGCTCAAGGTCAGGAGTTCGAAACCAGCCTGTGCAAGACCCCATCTCTACTAAAAATAGAAAGAAATTAATTGACCAACTAAAAATATATATACATAAAATGAGCCGGGCATGGTGGTGCATGCCTGTAGTCCCATCTACTTGTAAGGCTGAGGCAGGAGGATCACTTGAGCCCCGGATATTGAGGTTGCTGTGAGCTAGGCTGATGCCACGGCACTCACTCTAGCCTGGGTAACAAAGTGAGACTCTGTCTCAAAAAATAAAAAATAAATTATTTTATAGAGTTTGGCTTTTTTTTTTTTCCGTTGACAGATTCATAAACCCTTTCTCCAGGAGACAATAAAAACTATTTTTTCTCTCAGAGTGGGCATCATAGATTTTCTTCAAACGTGGAAATTACAGCCTGACTGCAGCGACCCTATGCATGCCACAACCAAAATACTTTCCAGAAAACGGCCCCACACTCAGACACTGAACCCCCTAACTGCATCTGCATGTGGGTCCCCTGCTGTCCAGTGCTCCTGGGCTTCTCAGAGTCACCCTCTGCTGTGTCTGTCCTGGGCAGCTGGAGGCCCCGGCAGGGAGGCCAGGCTGCCCAGGGAGCCCAAGGGGAGCCCCATGTCCCTCCCTTTGCAGTCTCCAGAGTGCTCTCAGCTTGGAGCCCCTGGCCTTAGGCTCTGCTGCCCACTGCAGGGTGTTCACCTGCTTCTTAAGAGGATAATGGTGTGTTAGTCTTTTCTTGTCGTTAATATACTACAGGCACATGTTTTATCTCCCTGAACACTGGAATAGCACTCACTGGTTTTCAATTTGTACTTAAAAGCTATACAGGGGTGTCGTGGCGACCCCTGAGTACCCTCGCTTTACGCTACTTTCTTTATGTAAATCTATAAAAACTATTGACCTTCGTCTCTCTGTGTTCTTTTATTTCCATTCCATTTCTTATTAATTCTTATACTCTGTGAAGACCCCACCTAAGGACCGGATTTCTCACAGATCTACCCACAACTTCTAGCTGTGCTAGGATTGAAAGGCCTACTTGTGCAAACCACAGAAACATCACTACTAAGATCAAGCAGTAGCAAACTAAGCTATGTTAGAGTTCTTTTACTAATAAAAGCAATACACCTTGCTTAGTTAAGCTGATAGCTTTTCAACCACTAAAGAAAAAACAACATATACTTGAATTATAGCTGCTGGCTTAAAGTTCATAATATCAGTAATGTAATATCTACCACTTAAGTAATATATAGTGAGAATATATGACGTCAAGGTTGATATGCTCTAAATCCTTAGAAAAAAATGTAATATGAAATCAGCCCAACATTAGAACCATATTTGCCTAAAAGGAACAGATTTTTCTTAGCATGGATCTGAGTTCATTAAGAATGTTTACGCTAAAATCATATAGGAAAAGGACGACATTGTTACAAATGGTGAATGGGCCTTCTTGTGCATTTCGACTGCACAAGCTAATGCTGGCTAAAAATGCAGTAGACAGGCCCCAGTGTGCCCTCAGCTACCCCATCTGATATACAGCTCGCTGAGATCTTAATGTCAAAACGCAGTACCCTACATAACCCAAGGACAGAAATAAGGCATTCCATCTCTTGTGTTTTAGGTACAAACTGTAGTTTGCAACCATTTACCACAACAGCATTCTGACCTTAAGGACTTCTATTTATATTCACCAGTTGTAATCAAAGACAACATGTGGGCCGGGCACGGTGGCTCACCCCTGTAATCCTAGCACTCTGGGAGGCTGAGGCGAGTGGATCGCTCAAGATCAGGAGTTCAAAACCAGCCTGAGCAAGACCCCATCACTACTAAAAATAGAAAGAAACTAATTGACCAACTAAAATATATATATAGAAAAAATTAGCTGGGCATAGTGGCCCATGCCTGTAGTCCCAGCTACTCGAAAAGCTGAGGAAGAAGGATCTCTAGAGCCCAGGAGTTTGAGGTTGCTGTGAGCTAGGCTGATGCCACGGCACTCACTCTAGCCTGGGCAACAAAGTGAGATTCTGTCTCAAAAAAAAAAGAAAAGGCAACATGTGGTAAATCGCTATACAAAAATCCTAGCAAAAAGTTAAAGATACAGGCCGGATGCAGTGGCTCATGCCTGTAATACTAGCATTCTTCAAGGCCGAGGCAGGCGGATCGATCAAGATTAGGAGTTGGAAACCAGCCTGAGCAGGAGCAAGACCACGTCTGTACTAAAAATAGAAAGAAATTAATTGGCCAACTAAAAATATATAGAAAAAATTAGCCGGGTATGGTGGCACATGCCTGTGGTCCCACCTACTCGGGAGGCTGAGGCAAGAGGATTGCTTGAGCCCAGGAGTTTGAGGTTGCTGTGAGCTAGGCTGACGGCATGGCACTCAAGCCGGGGCAACAGAGTGAGACTCTGTCTCAAAAAATAAAACTAAAAGTTAAAGATACAGAGGAAGATGAAATAAAGGTTGGAGATACGTGGGTGGGAAGATGTGGGGTAATAAAGGCTTTATGAAGAAGAAAGTTTTTGCTAGGTTAAAGGAAGAGTTGGATTTGGGAGCTGAATGCCAGGGGAGCAAAGAAGGCATGCCAACAGAAGAGAAAAAGTGAAAAATCAACCATAGAGAACTGAAAAATGCAGGGCATGTTGGAAGGAATGGGTATAAAACAAAGATGGACAGATAAGACATAAGGCTGAGGAAGGTCAGGCTTTAATCAATCACACAGATCCTCTGATGTTGGCCCTATGGAGCCCAAGGGAGAATTACAAGTTTTTCCAACCCACAGTAAAATGATCAGAATGGCAATTTAAAAATGTTTCGTTGGCGGGGCCAATGCCTCACGCTGTAAGTGCCCTAGCAGCTCTGGGAGCCCGAGGAAGGACGATCCTTTGAGCTCCAGGAGTCAAGGCAGCCTACAAGCACAGCAAGCCCCCACTCTACTAAAAATAGAAAATTAGGCAGGGGAGCCGTATCCCCAGCTACTCCCAGGAGTTGCGGGGATGCGGAAGGACTATTGCCCAGGGAGTTTGAGGTGCAGGAGCTATGATGATGCCCTGCACCCCCCAGCCTGGGTACCCAGAGCAATCTGCTCAAAACCAAAACAATAAACAAAACAAAAGTCTTGTTGGACAGACATGGTGATCAGGCCTATAATGCACTGGGGCTGAAGTGAGAATCCTTGAGCTCAGAGTTCAAGACCAGCCTGGGAGCAAAGC